CGGAGTTTAGGGCTGTTGTACATAAGGTCGCTATGAGTCGCAGGCGACTCGATGGCACATAACAACAACAACAACAACATGTGAGAATGATAAGTTACACATGTTAGGAATGGAAGCCTGGATTAAAGTTAATATTTAGTCTATAGTACAGTAGTTAAAAAGCTGTCATGATTTGTCAATCTACCTTATAAAAAAAGTCTTATTACATAAATGTGTTCTTATATTCAAGACTGCTGGTGTTAGAGGAGTAGGCTCCTAATCAAAAGATCAACTGCTTGAACCTGCTAGTTATTCCTCAGAAGAGATATAAATTTGGTCTCACCTTCGGAGCCCTGGTTACTCAGTGGTTAAAACACTTGGATGCTAACTAAAGTTGATAATTTGTGGGCAAAAGAGGTTGGGTAATTTAGTAAAGTCCTTGGAAACTCTATTTGGAAGTTTTACTCTATAGCTGCTATAATAAGGTGGGGAAAGACTCAGTTGCAATGAGTCGGTTAATGAGAATTCAAAATCTTTTAAAAAATGTTTATCATTTAGTATGTTATGTAATGCTCGTAGCTGACTTTTCCTCATTCCTTTGACAAAATCAATCAATCAAATCCAATAATCTTGGTTAATATTTCATGTTTTTAAAAGCTGGTCCTTGAAACCACCCCAGAAACCAAACAAACCCACCGCCATAGAGCTGACTCCAACTTGCTGGTCAGAGCAGAACTGCAACTCAAGGTTTCCTGGGATGTGACAGGAGCAGACTGCTTCCATCTGAGTTATCTTAGCAGCTGAACCTTTAACCAATTCATCACCAAAGCTCCATCCTTGAATCTGGTACCTAAAAGTAAGCGTGGACTACTATTGGTGGATTTCTGTTTTGCTGGCCTGTTGTTAGGTGACGTCAAGTTAGCCCTAACTCCTCACCCAGTTTACAACAGACTCAGACTGCTACCCCAATACAATCCTCTCTGTCACAGCTGTACTCAAGCCCTCTCTCACAGTCACTCTGCCAATCCAAAATGAAGGTCTTTAAATTTTTTTTTTTAAATTAAATTGCTACTTGCTGTGTTGGCTGCTATCAAATGAATTGATGTCTACTTATGGTCTACAAATGCTCCGGAATGTTTTCAAGGTTATGAAATTTTGAATGTAGGTCACTAAAGTTTGTCTTCTAAGACTCCTCTTGGTGGATCTGACCTGATAATTTTCTGGTTAGTGGCTGAATGCCTGGTCATTTTTATCATTTAGGTACTCAAAGAATATCATCAAAAAACATCACCCCAGACCAAAACTCATTGCCATCAAGTCAATTCCAATTTACAGAGACTCGGTAGGACAGAACACAGCTGCCCTACAGAGTTTCCTAGGCTGCAAATCTTTATGGAAGTCCAACTATTAGGTACCAGCGTTCCCCAAGAATATTCAATTCAAAAACCAACATACTGCCATCAGGGCAGAATCGACCTATAATTGACCCTCCAGTTGGTTTTCAGAGGCTGTAGATCACATGGGAGGAGACTGGTCTTCTTTCTCCTATGGAGCAGCTTGTGGATTTGAACTACCTGCCTTTGGGATGGCACCACAATCACTAGGTTACCAAAGCTTCCTAAACATTATATACATTTAAAAAGATCCAGTCACCATATAAGGAACTCCGGTGGCGTAGCAGTAAGAAATTATGCTGTCAACCAAAGGTATGAGATTTGAAGCTGCCAGTTGCTATGTGGGACAAAGATGTACAGTCTCCTTTCGTGTGATTTACTGCCATTAAAAACTCACTAGACGGTCAACTATGGGTTGGTTCCGACTCAACAGTTGTTATGTGCCACTGAGTCACTTGAGACTTACAGAGACACTATGTACAAAAGTTCTGTGAACCCTGTTCTAGCTCAAGCCAATTTCTTCGTCTCCGATACCCCCCGCATTATCCCAGTCACTGAGTCAATTCATCTCATCCAGGGTCACAAGAGCAAATCACCATTTTGACTGCTGTATTTTTAACCTATTTTGGGCTAAATCCCTCTTGAGAAAAATAATGACCTTTTCTTAGAAAATGGCAAATATGAACATATTATTTTCAAACTTTTATCTATACTTTCACAGGTTTCAGGGTCTCCCGCAGCCTAAGGTCATATCCTTTAGCTAATAATCTTAGTAAAGTTACACCTTAAATTAGAATTGAGCATAAGTCATAACAAATAACTTTCTTTCTGGTCAATGTTATTCTGATCTTTTCAGCTTGGTGTTGAAGTGATACTGATGTTGTATTCTTTCCCTCTTTAGACTAAACTTTGGTCCTGTACCTTGATATCTGCTAATACAATTTAAAAAAAAACCACTTAAACTAGAACTGTTTGGATCCTACTTTATTTTTCAAACGCTACACCCACAAGAAAGTTCATTTTAAGTTCAATATATATCCTTGGGAAAGTAGACGATCTGAGAAGAGGCAGATTCTCAACAAGATGAATCAACAAAGTGACAAGATGAATCAACAAAGTGACTGTAGCAGAGACTGTGAGAGTGGGGCAAGATCTGGGCCTTCCTTCTGCTGTCTGGATGAGCTGCTCCAAGTCGGAGCCAAGTGGACAGGACCTAACAACAATACACATTCACCAATAATTTTGACATTGAAATTTGTCTTCTATGTTTGCCAAATAATTATCTAATTTTTACTTCTACAAAGAGGAAAATAAAAAAAAAACTAGCCAAATACCCTAATTTAAAACTAAATATTCATGACTGTTAAAATGTTTCTAAAAAAAAAAAAAAATTAAAAAAAAAAGTTTCTAACACCTTATTAGGGCCTCAAAGCAAGAATTCGTTACCACAGAGAGGAAATAACTGACACAAAGAGCTGCAAGAAGGGAAACTAAACAGCAAATAAGCAACACTGACCTGCAGCTGCATCTGCAAGTTGTGAGAGAGGCACTATGTGTGACATCCTCTGTGTCTTCAAAAACGAAAAGAAGTGCTTCCACAGTGCACCGGCAACAGCAGCAAGGTGGCGCTCTTTAGCTGATAATGAAGATTGTACAATTAGGTCCACGTTCACTGTTTGAAGTTCCTGACACAATTGTTGATGCATACTCCTAAAAGGGAAGAAAAATACAGTTCACACCCAACAAATGCTTAGGGGAATCGTCTTTAAATATATTTTGGACTTTTTTTTTATTTATACCATATGAAAACTGAAGGGCCGTTTTATATAATTAAAACCTTTATGCCAAGACATTATGCATCTCTGTTATTTGATGGATGAATGATGGCATATTAAGCACCATAAAGTTAATGTTAATTACTAATGTCAACCATTAATTATATGCTTTTTAATATGTCAAATCCAAATGAGAAACAGGCAGCTTCAGAATGAAGGTCTGCATTTTCCAACGTTAGTATGACAAGTGAATTTCACTTACAATCTAGACATAAAAATAATTTTTTAAACAATTTTCTACTGAGGTCTTTAGGACATGGATTTATAATAAGAGGAAAATAAGTAATCTGTTATATGTGTGGTGTTTAAAATGAAAATATCTTCCTGGTTTAAAAAAAGTACAGGCATGGTGCTAGTATAGAAACAAAAGAACCCCAAAAACCTAATCATGTTCTTAATATAGACAATACTAAACAATATAGTTACTTGTCTCCATAAAATAACACATGGATTCAAAACAACTTCAAATTTTGGTTCACCATATACTAACATTTCCTGGTTCATTCAACTGAAAATGTAAACATCTGTAGACTTTAACAAAGGAACTCTGGTAGCATACATAAAGGACTTCCATCCTTTAAAGACTTACAGCCTCAGAAATTTGTTGGAGGCTGACTATGAATCAGATTCAACTCCACGGGAGAGAGTAGAGAAGCAGCACGAAGGAAGTACTGGACACTAAGTATGCCAGTAACAAATGAGGTTATCAAAATAGAGGGGAGAAATCCTAACACATTTTAGTAAATAACCTACAATTCATATGCAATACATTCAGAATTAATTATTTTAAACAAAATGTACAATCAGGCTACAATTTGTGTGTGTTTCAGTTGCTGCCGCCTTAATGGAGAATGGACATAAATGCAAGGATATCATCTATTTTTGTTTTCTTCAATTTTATAGAAGGCAATGAAATTATCTGTGAGGCCAAGGCAGATTCCTTCAAAAGTAATAATATACCATAAGGAGCACTGAACATCCATGGACAGCCAGAACAACAAACAGACATGTCTCAGAGAGTGTGCAGCTGGAGTGCTCTTTGGAGGCAAGAATGATGAGACTTCGCCTTACATACTTTGGGCACATTGCCTGGAGGGGCTATTCTTTGGAGAGGGACATGATCCTGGGAAGAGTGGAGGGTTGGTGAAAGAGAGGAAGACTCTCAACCAGATGGACAGACATGGTAACTGCTGCAATGGGCTCTCATGTGTCAGGTAGTGGGAGGATGGCACAGCATGGAACAGGGTTCAGATTTTTTGTTCATTGGGTTGCTATGAGTTGTACTTGACTCAATGGCACCTAACAACAACAACAAAAGTAAATGTTACATTAATTCCAATGTTGTTTAAAAACTGCTTATCTACAGGAAATGAACATTTAACACAAAAACAATCAGTATCTAAAACAAAAAATCTGACAAAAAAGATCAAACTTGTCTGAATACATTCCATGTAACTACTCATAGTAAGCAAAACTTATGTAATTTTATGACCTAGAGCCTCCTTGCACTGGAATTCCCAGGTAACAATAAGGTTCTAACTAACACTTGAAGTAGGAGAAGGAACAAAGGGGTGGGAGGAGAAAGAAAAAAAAAAGGTTCACAAGCACATTTCAATACAATGAAGGACGAAGTAAAATTACACTACTATTCTCCCTATTCTTTACAGCTTTTCCAAACCATATTGGTTTCAAAGGGTAATAAATAACCTTCGGTGCATGGGAAGGATGAATTTGGCACTTGTTTTTTTCTAAATAATCCATTCTCTTCATTAATTATTTCCTTGGTAGGGATAATATTTGAGTATCTTCTATGTGTTAGAAATTCTTGTATTAAGAAAACCAGAAAAACCTATGAGATGAACAACATTAACTCATAGTTAAGGTGAATAACAAAATAAAAATATATATGATGAAGCAGCTGATGTCAGAAATGTCAAATCATATGCGTAACAGAGGAGTGGGACTCATCATCTTAATCCATGTCGGACTTCAAATTCTTTTTATCTTAGAAGAGACAGAGAGACTAAGATATGCATGCATATATGCAAAAGTTTTAAAAGGATAAAACATTGATAAAGAGTTTTCTTTCCCTATTTAAGTCAAATAAATTCCAGGAAACCTAAAGAAAAGTGCTGAAAGAGCCACATGAAGCTTTGCCCTTTGAGGAGCTAACGGTAAAATCAGAATTCAGTATTAGGAAAGACCACCAAACCACCACCACCACCCCTAAAAAAACCCCCCAAATGAAAAGTCCAACAAATATGAGTCACTTTTGACTTCTCCTAAGTACAATACTAAGTAAGGTATCATAAATTATAACTCGAATTTACTACAAGGTTGTAATTTGTATTTCTGAAAGGACAATTAGGAAAAACTTAAAGCTACAGATTACATCCTCTGAGGTAGAGTTAACACAACAAAAACAAGTTTCAATTACGTTTGAGACGTTGACTTAAAAACAGACTTCCTTTAGAAATGAACACAGCAAGAATGCCCGCTGGAAGCAAAGAGGACCAAGCTTTGTCTCATACAGATTGGGTATGTTGTTAGAAGAGGTTATTCCTTTGAAAGGGACATCAAGCTTGGAAAGGTGAAGGGTAAGTAAAAGAGAGGAAGATCCTAAATAAGATGACTGACACAGGGACTACAGCAACGGGCTCAACTATTCCAGAAAATATGAGGATGGCAGAGGCTAGATCAGGGATTAGATGGACTGTTCATAAGGTTGCTATGAATTGTACGAGACTCACTGACATCTAACAATATAACCTTAGTATTTTGGATCAGGAAAGAAATTATGTATGTCCAAATATGCACAATGGTTCCTGCTTGATATTTTGAAAGTTCAAGTACATCACTGTGGGTAAGAAGAATTAACTTTATTTTAAAGCAGTAAAAAGCCACCTAAGATCTTTGGATGATTTCTTTAAACACGAAGAAATCAGAGAGAGACAAACAGGAACCTGAGGAGTAAGTAAATTTTTTACACTATAGCCAGAAATATCTCTTGCAGTTACAGGTAATTTTTAAACTATACATTTTGGAATGGTTAGTTAGTCATATAAATACTACTGAAAAAGAAAATCAGTATATTACAATGTGTTTATTGCATAAGGTACATTTATGGGGAAAATGCAAATATTAAAGAAGATATATCACTAAAGGTAATGATATAAATGTTATTTTATTTTGTTTTGTTGTTATTTGAGTGAATTTCAATTAATGATGCCATAGAATATAGAAGAACTGGCCCACTGCATTTCTAAGACTGAAATCTTTAAAGAAGACTACAAATCTTTCTCCCTAGGAAAGAGAAGTGGACGCAAGTTCCTGGCTGTTCAGTTAGCAGCCAAACAGTGAACCACATAATGAGAACACTACAGATCCAGATGTCATGGGCATCTTGTGAGATATGATCAGTTTAATTCAATAAACATCAGTAAAATAGGAAATGAAATATGATAGGTGTGCTACACAAAAGGTAAAACGATTTCTGGTAAGAAACTAAAAAAAGAAACACACACACACACACACACACACACACACACACACACACAGGAGACATGGAATCTCCCAACATTCAGCAAATGTTTTTGTTTGAGAAAATGTAGAACACGGGCTACAAATGTTTTGGAAATACAGAAATAAAAACAAATATGCATAATCAGGTTCTCCATACCTTTTCAACCTGTATGCAGAGCAGATTATCTGAGAGGCTGGGCTCTATGAGGAGAAGCGTGGCGTTAGGATTGGTGGACGATCTATCAACAATCTGCGTTATGCAGATGACACAACTTTGCTCGCTGAAACTGAGGAGGACCTCATGCACTTACTGCAGA